TTACTTTGATTTTGACAGTATGATCACAAAAACAAACTTATTACATCTGGGATCTGGCTGAGCTGACATTTGGTCAACTCAAATACCACCTGAAATAAGTAGGCCCTCAGTTGCCACCTGGAGGTTTTCCTTTTATTTCTCATAATCGAGTTTGACCTATAAATATCACTCTCACTTAAGCAGCTCATGTGTATGAGTAGCCCATGTCTTCATCACGTTACTCCTGTTTCACAGGTGTGATTAATAAACTATAAAGGCTAAATAAATGCTCAATCCCGGTCAGAGAACTACTTCTGAAAGTTTAGGATTGGGGCATTTGATGCCTTTTCTATCCTCCAGATTAATTTAATAAATTCAGCCATTCATTTATGCAATAAATACTTGAGTCTACTACAAATTAATTCGTTTGGAATCATTTCATCCCTGATTCTTTCAGCCCCAGCCAGAGGTTAGTTTCTCAGATAGACAACTTATTCTAAACCAAAGAAAGGCACAGGACAGGATCTACGTATTCCAGCACAGGACAGGATCTACGTATTCCAGGATCTACGCTGTCAAACTCGGCAACTTAGCTCTTTCTCTCCATTTGGACCACACCGACGCCGCGGAGAGGAACCCTCCAACCCCACTCTGCCAGGGCCGCCTGCCAACATCCCACCTAGGGAACTGACGCCTAGTGGGGCAGATGCTTCCTACACCCAGGGCTTCTCAAGGTGCGGGCAGGGCCTGTCGGTGGGCCCGGCTTTTCAGCAGAAGGGCAATCAACAAGTGTCTCCGCTTGCCAGGGCTCCCTCCCAAATTCAGACGCTGCGACAGCTCACCTCAGCCTATGCTCAATGCTTCTGAGAAAATCCCTCGAGAGGACCTCGACTGGTTCGATACACTCAGTGAGCCGAGAAGGGACACTTTCCCCGGCTGTCCTGCAAACGTCCCCCTGCTCACATCGAGCCCAGCGGGGGCTGGGGAGGCTTAGCAGAAAGGAACCCTAGGGAGAGACCAGGGATGGTGCCTCCCCGCCCTCCGACTCACTCCCTCTCAGGCCAGGGCCCTCTAACGGGTGGCAGCCGTGCAGCTCCCACTCCTCCTAGGGTCCCTGTCGACCCCCAGCCCTAGGCCCGGGCCCTCCTTGCACACCGCGCTCCCGCCCCGCGGCGTCCACCCTCCAGCCCCCTGGCCAGGTTACCATGCTGGCGGGGCGGCCTGCAGCACTCGAGGGCGGCTCTCCGCGCCCCCTCTGCACCGCCCCCGGAGGAGGGGTGCTGGGTATCCGGGTGTCTACTCCTGCCTGTCTCCGCAGCGGGGCTTAGCAGAGTTCTCGGTCGGAGAAGCGCACCAGGCAGCGGCAGTAACTGCGGGCCCGGCGTACGGCAGCCATCTTCGCGGGGCAGGGGGCCAGAGCGCGGCGCGCTGGGGTGGCGGCGGCGGCCGGGTACTCGGGGAGTGGAGGGACGCCCGTTGCCAGTCGCGGCGGGATGTGCGAGCACCGGAGCGTCCGCCCCACCGGAGACCCCGGACGCCGCTGCGGAGCTGCCCCTCAGCTGCGGAAACCTGCGCCGACGCGCCGAGCATGCGCAGTGTCGTGGCTGCCCCCGTGCGCGGCCCGGCCCCCCAGCTCTAGGGTTGCCTCGTGGTGGACGAGGGGTCGCGGGCAGGCGGTGTGCGCGCGCCTGGCGCAGGGCTAAGGCTGCCCGAGCGCCGAATCTCAATTCAACCCGTGTGTTCGGCTGAGTGAACACTTAAGCGAACTTGAACAAGCATTATCTCAAAAATGTTTACAACCCAAATTTAGGGTTGAGCCGATAAGGCAAGCCGCCCAAAAAGCATCAAACGGGACGCTTGGGACAGTCGCTAAAGTCCTCGGAGACGCTGGCTAGAGTCCCGCGCCAGGAATGCAGGAAAACAGTAAAACTTCTCAACAGTCACAGCTGTTATAACGACTTAAGTTTTTGAAAGCACAAACTGGAGGTTGAGGAAAAGACGCGCTTTGCAGCAGGAGGAAACCAGCAGCCCACGCAAAACACACCTCACTACAAATCCCATAATGCAATGGAGGGAGGGCTTTCGACTCCGTGGCCCTGAAACCCAAGTGCCATGGAGACAGCGCTCGCGAGGCTCTCTGGGATTTGTAGTCCATCGCTCAGGTTTGAGCACCGGAACTTACACTTGGTCCTCAGCCCCACCTCTTAAAGCCCAAACTACCTGATTTCATCTCAAGTGAATGTACTTGTTTATCAGATGATACTTTGTTTTTCCACAGTTTAAATCTTTTTAACTACGGGTTTCCCTGTTCTGTGAAAACCGACAGCCTTCATACCTATTACCTGCATTTAGCAAACATTTACTGAGTTTTTAAAGTTTCTACTGGTGCCAGGAACTAATAAGGTTCCAAACATTCAACGAGTTTACAGAGTTTAAACTTCTAATGCATTCTATTCTGGAGATTAAGAATGCACTACATCTTTGGCAGAGAAGTGGAGGTGAAAGTGCTGGGGGAAGGGAGAGAGTGCCAGCTGCAATAAGGAAGTCCCAAATGCCCGGTTGCCTAGGCTGGAGTGCAGTAGCGCGATCTCGGCTCACTGCAACCTCCGCCTCACAGGTTCAAGCGATTCTCCTGCCTCAGCCTCCTGAGTAGTTGGGATTACAGTCATGTGGCACCACTCTCGACTAACTTCAGGCTGGTCTCAAACTCCTCACCTCGTGATCCGCCTGCCTGGGCCTCCCAAAGTGCTGTGATTACAGGCACGAGCGACCGCGACCACCTGCAGTATTTTAATATTGAGCTTCACCCTTCGGATGAGTGTAATTTTATTTGCACCCTAAGTCAGCTACCTATAGTGCCTTCATGTTTAAAAGGGGCCAAAAATGTAAGTTTCTAGTTTAAAAGGAGACTCTAGGGCTTAAGTCATTTTAAGGATAAATTTACTCCCAATGAACTCCTTAAAATTGGATTTTGAAATTTAAAGTGGGGAGGAAGGGATAAATCTAAGGATTTATAATAGAATAAAATGATAAATGTGACTCTTGAATGCTAATAAGTTTTACAAACAGAATGAAGAAATAGTTTCAGAACGAATCTGTTGCATTTAAAACGTTGAGTGCTAATTTAAAATAGCTTGGTCAATTAGCACAGATTATTTCCTTTATTCTAGCAAGTAATTAAAGCTTAGTAAAATATTTGTAAAGATAAACTGAGCATTAAAACACTATTATGTTTCATAGCTACTAATTTTCTATTTTCAGTCAGTTCCGCAGTATCCACTAGACATCCTTACAAGGTTATATTCTCTCATCATACTGTATTTACAGGATTATGATTTCCTGAGGCCAACTACTGATCTAAGCTACCTACTAGCCTAGCAGACTGTTGCTAATGGTAAACCAAGACAGTACCTCAGTTTGCCACGTAGACCTGCTGAGACAATTTGATTTGACTAAAACTGATTTTACTTTAGAAATTGCTTTTCATGGGGGTAGTATATGACTTGTTAGATTCCTTCTTGTGTTTCTATCTTTCTACTGATAATGATTTTCCATTTTCATTTGCCATATGGGCTGGCTTTTAAATAGGTAAAAACAAAGGTAGATACAAATGTTATACATCTGTCAAAAGGCCAGATGGCCTTTTTCCATTTGGGAGAGGGAATCTAAAGAAGCTTGACTATCTTATATCTTGCATGTTTCTTCCACAAGATCAAAAGGAGAAAGGTATTCAGACTCTTAGTATAGAGTCTTTCAGTAAAAAACAATCTTCAGTGTGTAAAATTCAAAAATAAAAATAGTGAGAAAAAACTGATATGATGATCATCTGGGAATTGTAAACTCAGAACAGTCCACAAAGTGTTAAAGGGTTTCTGTCTAATTAATTAAATCTGTGTTGCTTAAGGCAGCGTGACCAGCAGCAGTAGCACCAGCAACTCTGGGAGTGCAGCCCAGGAATTTGTTTTAACAAGTCCTCCATGTGGTTCTGATGCTTCCTGCTAATGTTTAAGAACTGTTGGCTTAGAACAATTATGTAAATATAAAATCAGACACCTGGAAGCAACTTCTTTTTTCAAAGCGCTCTAGCCTCATAAGGATGATTTTAGGTAATGTCTACACTTACGACATAAATGAATGTGTTATAAAATTACATGTGTTAGATTCCCTATAATTAGTTACAGAAGGAGGACGATTGTTGTGTAGAGGATATCTGACTAAAGTCAGTTTCTCCCCTGGATAAGAGTCCAGTTTTTACAACTACTTACTGACAATTTAAAAACTCTTTTTTTTTTTTTTTTTTTTTTGAGACGGAGTTTCGCTCTTGTTACCCAGGCTGGAGTGCAATGGCGCGATCTCGGCTCACCGCAACCTCCGCCTCCTGGGTTCAGGCAATTCTCCTGCCTCAGCGTCCTGAGTAGCTGGGATTACAGGCATGCGCCACCATGCCCAGCTAATTTTTTGTATTTTTAGTAGAGACGGGGTTTCACCATGTTGACCAGGTTGGTCTCGATCTCTCGACCTTGTGATCCACCCGCCTCAGCCTCCCAAAGTGCTGGGATTACAGGCTTGAGCCACCGCGCCCGGCCTCAATATAAAAACTCTTAAGCGTTCAAACGAATGCCACCAGGCAATCAGGTGCGTTTTCATCGCATTTTTCTGTATAGGTAACATGAAATTGGCTGTTTAACAACTTTGAGTACAATTCAGTGGCATTGATTACTTTCACAATGCCGTGCCACCTCAACTACGTTTTTTGCAAATCAGAAAAATGTTTTCACAACGATTACCTTTACTTAAATGTGCCCAGAACGTCCATCGACGGCCTCCATTTCTAAGTCTTGATGGTTGATCGAGCCTATCTGCAACTAGGAGTGCGTGTGGAGTCGGAGATCGCCGTGTGCTCAGCTGGCGTTGGGGTCCCTGCGCGCAGTGCCGCCCTCTGCCCAGCGCTGCGCCGCGCAACTCTGTTGGGCGAGCCAGGGCGAACGGGACGCGGTGCAGGGACGCGCAGGGCCAGCGAGGGGAGCTGCAGGGTAACTTTTCCCAGGGAAAGCGGCCGGTCGTCCCCACTAGAAGCCACCCAGCCTTTTGTTTGTTTTCCTGCCGGAGGCTGGAAAACGGCCGGGTTCCTGCTGCACTACCATGCGCCGTGCGGCCCGTGCGACTCGCCGGACCTCGCGGGCGTCCCCGCACGGAGCCCTCGGCCGGTCCTAGCAGGGATTGTCCCCATTTCCAGTTCCCGAGCGGCGGCTGCGCCCAGGAGCTGCGCTCACCGCAGGGGCGGGCCCCCGCCTGTGTTCGCGGCGCCAGTAAGTGGGGCTCGGGGATTTAAGGGCTTCTGCCGGGCGACCTGTGACTTTAGTAGCTGCTGGGCTCGGGCGGCCGGGGGACCCCTGGCCGGTGGCCCCGCGAAGGATCGGAGGCGCAGGAAGAGGCTAATGGGTTTCAGTTTCTTTCCGTGATCATGTGGGTCTCTCCTTCCTGGCATGAAAACTCGGAGCCTGGAGGATTTTGATGGGTGTTTATCTTTTAGTCTTAAAGAGGGGGAAGACCCTAGCCAATTTGAAGCCTCTTTGCCGGGCACGTTGAGGACTTGCTCTTGGAATTTCCCTGACTAGGCCCTGGGCTGTCCCACAAGGGGTCTGAGCAAAAATCCTCGCATACTTATTTGCAACCATTTTTCATTGGATTTATTTCTTTCTTATTAATCTGAGTAGCTGTTATGAGAAGGATGTTGAAGGATTTTCCATAACAACTGATTCTTTTGTAATGTTAACCTTTTAAAGTCTGACTTTGACACTAACATTAAGGACTTATATGTAAGGTAGCTAATGCATCATTCTGCAGAGAAGAGTATTCCTTTCCTCTTATAACTAAATAAGACCTGCTTTTGCTGGAGCTGGGCTAGGCTGAGGGAATTCCACACTGAATTTGACAAGCGGGACTGGATTTCCCTAAGGTATAAGGTATTGGGGCATGTGGGTGTTTTGTTTTGTTTTGTTTTGTTTTGTTTTGTTTTGTTTTGTTTTGTTTTGTTTGGCCGGGAGCACTCTTTGTAGTAACAGAAGTTTGATAGTTACAGTTTTCATTTCTCAGATTTCCCAGTGAGTGGGGTTTCAGGGTATGCTTCAACAGTGAATGGCACCATTGCCGAATATAAAGTTTAAATGAGCTTTAAATTTCTGTAGCCAAGATATAAATTATTAAGAAGAATTTGTATCTCAATCATATGCTGAACTATGCTGGGAGTTAATATATGCATAAATATGCACATTTGAAATAGTTTCTGGACAATATGCTACAATGTGGTAATGACTCTTTAAGGCTTTCCTATATACTTGAGGACCAGGAACTGTAAAACACTGGGAAGTAGGTGGAGAAAGGAAAGCAGTACTGGGATTCTTTATTTAAAATGACATCTTGTGCCATTCCCCACTCTCTAAGTGATTCTGCCCACTTTTTATTTCTCTCTTTTCACTTTGCCTTGTCCCCTTCTCCAAAGTCAAAACTGGTGGCCAGGCAGCAGGGAGGCAGCCACATTTCCTGATGAAACCAATCTAGGTTCAGATCGTGAAGGGGTATGCTGGAGGGTTGATGGAGCCTGTCTGATTAGGCAGACCCCTGCTGTCCTTGCCAAGGGAACTCAGCATTTAATCACGAAGAAAAGGTCTTTTCACTGAAGTTTCTTCTCCACAGACTAAGTATAAATGAGCTACTAGGACATCAAACAAGCCATTTGGGAGTTTTATTTATTGACTGTTTATATCATCAGAGCCCTTTTTATACTTTAATGTTTGTTATTCTCATTGCTTTTTGAGGTTCCTAGTACAGTGGAAATTATGTTAATCTTGAAACATTGGAATTATCTTAAACCATATTTTCCTTCATTTCCTTCATCCTCTATATCAATGAGTCATCAAGACCTTTGAAATATGTTTTATATAGATCCCTCCTTCTATATTCTAACCTAGTCCTCACTCTCTCTCCTGCAGTACTGCAACAGCCTCCCGAGCCTGACTCTTACTAAGCTCTCATTAAATGTTTGCTGAATGAATGAATGAATGAATGAGAAGTTTCCTTCTGATCTTTTCAGAGTTATGTTGCCTGTGTAATCTTTAAAATGATCACTTCACTCTTCTGGACATGTAACCTTCAGTTTTTCTTCATTATGTACTATCTCAAGTTTGAAATAATATGCCTGACTTCTCAAGGCCTATCATAATCAGCCTCACCCTTCCTATCTAAAATCTTTTTATTTCAGCATGCATCTTTGTACTCTAAGCAGCCTGGTCTTCTTGCTGTCCTGCTAATGGGGCCAGACTCCAGACTCTTTCCCACCACAGCATCACTGCTCATAGTGCTTTCCTGAGAAATCCGCCCCCGCCCCCTTCTCTTCACTGTCCTGTGCGACTCCTATCTATTCTCAGAGGAGCGTAAGTCTACTTCTTTTATAATATTTTCTCTTTCTGTTTCTCAAGATACTTGCTTGTTCACCCTTCATTATACTGGCTGTATTGATCTCTAATTGGTTTAGGTTATTTTAAGCCTCTTTAGGGCAGGAGCCATATTTTATGCCTGGTAATGTGGTATCGTGGGCTTTGAAGTACAGCAGAATAGGGGAAAGGGCGTGACTCCACTTATTAGTCGTGTGGCCTTCTGTAATTCTCCTAGTATTAATCTCATGTGCAAAATAGGGAAAAGGCTTCCCCCCAGCTTCACTCCCCTGTTGTGGTATGAAGATGGTTTATAGTGCCTACTTACAACTGGCAGATACATGATAAAGGTCTGCTTATCCCTTGACAGTAACTTAACAGAATCCAATCCCTGAACACTTAGCCTAGAGGCCTAGAGAACCAGTGTAACCATGCAGCGAATCCTTAGTAAGTATTATCCTGCCCTTACTTAAAATGGCTTGAGCTTAGGTTATTCCTGGCTGCAGCTCTGCTTCTGGGATCTGTTGCTGTTTTTCCATCTGAACCTTGCCAAGAACACTACTGCTTTAAAAAATGTGTTTTTTTTTCTTTTTCTGCTGTTCCTGCAGCAATATCCTCCATTTCATTTTGTAGGATCTTGCAGAGTCGGAGTTGTACCTAACCCTTCTATTGATGTCTGCCCTTATAAAATGCATTTTTCTGCTTGCAGGGTCTGTGTGAGTGTGTGTATTTGCCTGGTGGTTCCTTGGCAGGATTCTGGGTGTAATGACCTTTCTGTATGTTAATCTGAAAGCCTATGAATAGTATCTCACTTTACTGTTGAGTCTTTCACCTGTGATCTTTGCTGACTGTGGCTTTCTGAGAAAGGCCTATGTTTAGAGTATTGGAAATCTCCTATCTGTGGACTTCAGTGTTTATGGTTGATGTGGTTGCCTGGGAGAATGCGCAGAGGTGTGTGCCAGATGACTTATACACAGGTTTTGGGGTTATAGTGTAATTGTGTCTTAGTTTGTGGTTGTGCTTACCTTTGAAATTGAGTTTTAACCCTTATAACAACACATGTGTTCTAGAAAATTACCTTGTAAAAGAATTTGGTGAAACAGATCATTTTCCAGGGCAAATTGCATTAAAATGCAAAGGAAGTGTTGTGGCAGGAAGAAAATCAGAGATGCCTTTGATTGCAGCCAGAGAAGTAAAAGCAGCAGCTCAGGTCTACCTCGAGATGATAACCAAGGTTGACATGAGCATCCTCGCTCAATCTCTCTACTCCTAGCGAGCTGCTGTCTGATGTTAGGAAAAAGTACTACTCGACAAGTTTTAGGGAAACACTCAACCCGAACAGAAGGCTTCTATTCCTGATTTTCTTCCAAGGATACTGAAGTATCCTTGCACATTAAGTACCTGACTCACTGTGCTTTGAAAGTTGAAGTCTTCCTGGATAGGAAGAGTGTCTTGTTGTGAAACTTACCTGTGCAGACTGAAATCAAATCCAGCACATGTTGACATGTTTGAGTTTGAGAATACCACATCTTCAAACATCTGCCTCCCCCTTTTTAAAAACTATATGGGCTCAGAATTAGCAAAATATTTATGTGCTTTTTACAAAGTGGTACATGGGGACCATTTGATACATCTTTAGTTGACTATAAAACGTGTATTATGTTTACAGATTTAAAAAATGTGCTGTGCTACTCTGAAGATAACAAGGATTCTGTTCTTCTTCATTGGATCTCTAGATCTCATCTATAAAGTGAGGATGTCAAATAATCATTAAGGACCTTTACAGAAAAAAAAATTCTTACTCTATATTTGAAGTTTCTTCAACATTAAGCTTTGAATGTGGGTCCTATTGCATTTAGCATTCAAATCTTTACTAATTAGCAATCAGTTACATTTTATCTTTAAATTTTTCCTAGATTTTAATAGCTAATCATGGTTCTATAAAAGATAATGCCACCGAACCAAAAGGATGAAGTATTAGAGTGTAATGTCCAACTATATTTGATGATGTCTAAAAGTCACTATCTGCGTGAACTTGTAGTTCCTAGCAGATGATGGTCATCTGAACTCACGTTTTTTGAAATGGAAGGGCCACAATAGTGCCTCACTTTTCATTTGGTGCTTTTCCCACCTTGTCAAGAACTCTTAGTAGTCACTTAATGGCCCAAATCTTAAGAGAACCATATATATATATATATATATTTTTTTTTAAATATATATTTTATTGCATTTTAGGTTTTGGGGTACATGTGAAGAACCACATATTTTTTAGGAGAGATGAGTATGAGTTATTTTTTACCTTTCTATAGGTGAAGCATGACTTGTGATAAAATACTGATAACTTGTGACTGCCCTTGTGACTACCATAAAAGATAATGCCTGAGAACCAGAAAGGTCAAGTACTATTGTGTATTGCTGGGCTATATTTGGCAATATCACGAAAGTTACCATCTGCATGAACTTGTGGTTCCTGGAAGATAGTTGTTAATAGTTTTGCCCTCTTAGACATTGCCTTTGCTCTGGAAAAGAATTTACAAGAGAATGATTTAACTAAAACAAAGGTGAGTGAGAAAAATGTAAATATGCATGGCTTCATGTTATCTCATCTGTTGAAAATCAAATTTTTTCCTAAGTCAGTGTAAAGGTTTTTAGAAGGAGTCATCATTTTGGTACCCTAGTTCCAATGCAGTTGTCCAATTTGCAGAGAAGTGGGGCGTGACGGGATGGCAGTGAGGGTGGATTTGGTAGTACAAGAAAATCACCTATGGTCAGAATTGCCTTTTAAAGCCCCATAAATTGTTCATTCATTAGTTAATTCATTCAACACGTCTTTATTGTGAGTATCTACTTGTGCCAACTATGCCAGGTTCTCTTCT